CGGGCGGGGGAGTGCGCAGGGAGCGCTCTGGCCGAAGCGGCTGGCAGGAGGAAGGTCGCTTAATCAATCTCTTTGGGGGGGTCCGTCTCGCTCACAGGCAGCCTGGCTCTCAGCCGCACAGCCAAGCCACTTTCCCTGTCTTTGCACTGTTTCTCACTTCTACTTCCCCCTTAATTTTTAAAAACCTCTCCTCTTCTCAGCCACAGGGAAACAGAACGAGAGAGAGAGAGAGAGAGAGAGAGAGACAGCTGGAAGGCGTTCTTACTCCTCTTTTTCTTCTTCTACTTTCCACCCTTTCCTTCCCTTTTTCTCACTACTCACTTGGGTGCCCCCCTCCCTCCCTCCCTCTCTCTCTTTCTCTCTCTCTCTACGTAGCTCTCTCTTTCTCTGTCCCCCCCCCAGCTCGGTCACCGCTGGCTCTTATCGATGGGTCTTAAGCCACACGCTGTAGTACTGTGGAGCACTGAGGACCAGCCAGCACCTGGCAGCCGTCTGCTGTGTTCCTCAGCCGAAAGACGCCGGTGACCCGGGATCAACAAACGGTACGGTACAATTCAAGATCCTGGGGGGAAGGGGCTGGGAGGGGCCACCGCGGCCGATGCTCAGGGAAGCCGGACCTGGGGGAGGAGCCTGCCCATGCCGAGCTTGGGGTTTTTGGGGAGACTAGCAGGTGGCGAACGACGTCCTCTTACATGCCACACGTCTGTTTGTAACTGCGGGGCAGGGGGCCGGTGCATGCCAGGAACGACGGCTGGGGGGGGGACTCGCCGCTCCCAGCCCGTGAAGGGCTGCAACCAATCGGGACCAGGGCTCATCGGAGACACGCGGGGCTCAGGGGTCTGCACGATGGGTGACAGTGGACCACGGGGCATAAAAAGCAAGGGGGGAGTCTGAGCATGCATGTGCATCGCTGTTCATCAGCTGAAGGAGGGAACAACTGGCAAACCACCGGGGGGTGCTGTGCTAGCGGCTGGGGGGGGGGGGGGGGGGGGGGGGGGGGGGGGGGTGTCGACATATTTGTAGCATCTCGCCTGCCTCAGCAAATTCCCAACCGTATCGTCAATACCCGGCTCACGGACGATTAACCTCTTAAATCCCGCAGGCATGATGGAGGCTGGTGCAGGGACAACGGCCCCCCCCCCACCGGATTGCACAATCCAGCACGCCAATGTGTCCCATCGCCAGCTTTACTACCACATTCACGGGTCACAGTCTACCCCCCGCATCCACTATCAACGTCTTCATGTGAGCGAGTGTCTGCGTTTTGTGTATATCCACATAGGGTTTTTGTGCTCTCCTTGTTTACATTAACATTTAATATATGTATATATGCAAATATTATAAATATATATGTTACATACATAAAATTGACTAGTCGCGGTAGATTTGCATTAACGGTCACATGAGCGCAATGCAGTTCCTCATTCTCATCAATCTCTGATGGGAAATAAAAATGAAATATGCTTCTCCGGTAAGTTGGATTAAAGCAAACATTTTATCAAAGCCTGAAGTCTATTTCAGGTCCCCGTCATAAATAACTTAAAGGAGAGAGCACCACCGGCAACAGCTAATGCACGGGCGGCTTTCGGGGATTAGAAAAAAGGTAGAACGATAAAAAGAAGCAGTGAAGAGTAGCTTTTTTTAAAAAATTGAGGATTCGAAGGAGTTATAACTTCTGTTAATCCCTGCCCCCCTTTTCTCCAGGACCCCAGTTCCCAAATATGGGAAAGGTGGGGCTTCCCTTGGCCTCCCTCCCTTCTCCTCCCCTCGCTATCCCATCATGCAATGCGTCTTTTATCTCCCATGCCCAGGGCGCTGGTTGTTTAGGGTATCCACCCCTCCGTTAAGGAGCGGGACTGGCCTCATAAGAAGCCAGAGGTGTACATTTCTTATGCCCTGTGACTCGTTTTCATTCCTTTATCTGTTATCCTGTCACCTGCAGTCCAAGGCCCTGCCTCTGATCAGTGCCTTCACAGAGTCAGGAAGGCCGCATCGCTGGGCCCTGCTTCCTGGCCCTATTTCCATGCCCTAAGCAAGCATAGGGGTGAGGGGCAGGACCGTGCCACCCCCAATCCGTCCGTGAAGCCGCAGAGGGACAGCGGGAGCTGACAGGAGGAGAGGTGCTTGACCCAAAACCGAGGATGCGAGCGGCCATAACTTCTAAAGAGCACAAAGTACAAACAGGTAAAAACCAAAAGACGTGCAGCGTCAAATGCAATATGGACATTGTGGGCCGAGCCAATAGATAACAGGATCACAGAATGTGGACACAAGCAGCACCATTCAGTCATTTGAGACGCCACGTACCATTAAAGGCCCAGCTCCAGTAAGTCGGGAGGCTTTTTTGAGGGTTACTGAAGTTCCTGCAGTGTCTGACCACTGGCAGGCCATTAGCAGACCCGGCATCAGAGTGGTGGGCAGGCTCCTCGCCCCTCCGTGCCCGTGCCACGGCTGGCCCCACGTTAGGCGCGTGCTCCTTCGACGGCATTCTTCTGACCAGCAAAATGTTTTTATTTCTCTTATTACGGAAGGGCAGATGGGCCAGGCTGGACGGCGGCTGGGTGAGGGAATCCTTCCAGGGCCACGTGGCGGCCGCCGCTTTGCCCGCTCGTCTTAATTAGGAGCTACTGTTGGCAAGCGGCAGGTGAACACATCTGGGACGCCATACTGGCTGAAAACACAGCGGGTCTTGGAAATAATTCAAGCTCCGCTGTCATTTTTTTTTTTTTTACTTGAAGAAGCAAATGAGTGAAATGGACAAGCTTTTTTTTGGGGGGGGGGAGGGGGGGGGGCTACCTTATAGTGAAAGGAAATACCGTCTGAGTAACACGGCCACCCAAAGCAAAAATACAACTTATTTACATATAATTTAAATTCTCAGTTATCTTTAAAACACAATATTTTAAGGAGTGTTGGCAGGCATAATCACACACACGTGGGCCGGCCCAATCAAAGTTACCTGTTTATGTACATGTTTATTTTGGGCTCCTGTGGTGACAAAGTGCATATGAAAATGACAGGGGGGTGGGTCAGGGCGTGGGGACCGCAGAGACAACCCCCCCATCAGAGTAAAGCCACACAAAGGGGCCACATGAAGCCACTCATCAGTCACCAGGGGTCCAACGCTGATGAAGGCCGGTCGGGATGAATCTGTCTCTTCCTGTGGAGGAGCTTCCCACAATGCCGTAGATGGAGAGGCAGGACTTTCCCAGGAAAATTAAGATGGGAAACCTCCCTCCGACAGACACACACACACACACACACACACACACACACACATACACACATAATCGAAAGGTTTGTCTCATGGGGATTTTATTCCCAATTTGGCGGTGAATCAAAAGAACAATACGTACTCACTAATCCTGGCTTTGTTTCTCCATTTCAATTCCTAAGCATATTTTTACCAGTTTCTATTCTTGACCCCGATTTCATAAGGAAAGAAGGTCCTCCCTGTGTCTCCAAAGTACCCGGAATTAGAACAAAAAAGCAAAAAAATGTAACACTAAAGTCAGAGCGATCCTTTTTCGCTAATGTAACGCACCGGCGAGACGCACCCTTCGTCTGCACTACACACTCACCGTTAGCATTTCCCATCTCTACACTCCTTCATTTTTACGGTCTTATAATTGCAGTAACCTTTTAGACACTGAGCATGGCACTGTCACAATCACGTTTTTCTCAATTATTTAAGAAGCTGTTAAAATATTTAAGAAATGCGAGGCCAGTGTGAACATCTGCCAAGGCCGGCGTGGATTCCCGCCCCCGCGTCCTCCTCGCCGAAGCAGATGTGCCGCGTTCTGAATCATTTAGCACGTCGTCAATGTGCGCAAGATAATATTTGTCGAGTTTTGCGTGGGGATGACCCCCTCACGATGGTAAATGCCACGCGTGTACCGTCATCTCGGAATGATGATTGGTCCCTCCATTCTTTGTCCCCGCTTACCCGATACAGGGTTGCCGGTGCCAGGAACTATCCCAGAATGCACAGGGCATTAGGCTGCTGTACCATGGAGTGGCCCACCACGAGGCACAACGAATGGTCATCAGAAAATTAACCTGTTTCGGCTCAGGTGAGGAGGTCTCCTTCCAGGCCGATGGTTGGCAGGGCTGAGATAACATGCAGTTGGGGCAGAGAGTAGCCGCCAGACTCCAGGCATGAGACCAGAGCAACAAATCAATCACAAGCACAGAGCCTGATGACACATTTAACTCTGATGCAGTAGCCATCATAAACTGCCCCCCCCCCGCCACACACACACACACACAGGACTTGTTTTCCAGCTGAATTACGGAAGATCCTTTATCCTGTCAGCACCCTGAAGCCTGCCTTACCAAGTGATCCTGCATTGGGCTCTGCAGTCGTCATGTAAGACATTTGGGGACAGACAGACATCATCCATCTTCTGTGTATCCTGGTCAGGTTTAAGGTGGTGGTGGGGGGGCTGGAGCCTATCTCAGGTGGCACAGGTACACTCTGGACAGCAGATACGCCATCACACACAACGGGCAGTTTAGAGATGCCAATTAGCCTGACTGCCAGTGAGTGTGACTTTGAACTGTGGGTGGAAACCGAAGTGCCCAGAGGAATCCCACACGACACGGGGAGGGCATGTAAACCCCACAGAAAGAGAGCGGGGGCAGGGTGTGAATCACAGGCCCTGTGGATCTAAGCAATACTGCTACCCTCTGAGAAACACAGACAAACACCAGTGCCTGTTATATTGTTTGTGTTTTGTAACAAACATCCAGATTCCAAGCCTTAATTTTCAGCAAAACTTTTGTTTGAATTAATACCGCAAACGTTTGGTAACAAGTGGAAAGTGGGAAACCACCCCAGATTTCACACGAGCACCCAGAACCAGAACCAGAACCCATTCAGCGGTCCTAGAAGGCAGCACCATCAGCAACATCCACCCAGAATACAGCAGTAGGCACCAGCCTCGTGGATCGACAGCAGTCACCAACGGTGGGGGTGGAGGGGGGGGCAGGTGACTTACCAGTCTCGTGACGAGGGGCACCCCGAAATGCCAGAAGTGATCGTTCAGAAGGCCACTGTACACCACGTTTCCGAAGAGGGTGATGGTTCCTGATTTGCACAACCCGTTTCCTGGTTTGGTTTCTGAGATGGAGAGAGAGACAAAAGAATAGAGGGCAGCGATTAGTGAGACCCTTATCTCACAGTAACATCAAAGTCTAAATGGCTGTGCTATAACACACACAGACGCACAAAAACCTTTCAAAGTGAAACGTCAGGAGTGTCACACAGAGACAAGTGCACTGTGGCCCCCTGTCAGCTACCTGGAGGTTCATCACAGCCCTGATTTCACCCTCTTTTATGCTAGACGGGTGTGAAGCAAACACCAGCTTTTTAAGAAGAACAAAATCGCATGCAGCCAGCAACAGCAAACACTGCATTCATTACCAAAAAACAAAAGTAAGGAGGCGCGTGTGTGTCACCGTTATTAATGGGGCTGACGGGGGGCCCGACATTACGGTCTCACTTTTTATAGCTACAGCCTGCAGTCTCCCAGGCTTCACTGGGCCAAACCCTGTGGTAGGATGGCCAGGACCGGCGGGACCGGCGGCCGCAGACATGGGGGACAGTGGTGGCGCGATGGCGTTCAGAGACGGGGCGGTGGAGGGGGCAAGAGGGAGAGGGACAGAATACTTGTTTGCAGGGGGAACTCTGTTCAGCATAATGGTTGGATGGTGCAAGAAATGCAGCAAGTGGGAAAAAAACGGCTTGTCAAAGCCCAAGTTGGTGCGGCATCAAGCTCTCACAGAGGCCCTAGGAGCCAGAGGCTGCCTGCATCTGTCTGTGTGCAACAGCATAGCGCCCGGGCATGCCTGCATGAACCCCCCCCCCACGCCCATCTACCCTGGCTCTTATGCCCCCCACCCGTCTGCCCCAGCCTCAATGCCCCCCACACACCCATCTATCCCGGCCCCAATTCCCCTCAATGCCCATCTACCCCAGCCCCAATGCCTTCCACCCAACTGCATATGCCAATAGCCCCCCTCCCCCCCCCATCCCATATGCCCCCAGTGGATAGCTGCTTGCTTGGCATTTTCTAGTTTGCAATAAGGAGGAGAAACATTGGTGTTAATAATTCAACATCGGGGCCGTGGGGGTCGGGAGGGTCCGGGGGGTGGGCCAATCGCAAGGGTGAGGGGGGTGGCTGGGAGATACTGTCTGTGTCGCGTTGAGACGCACACTTACCCCCAGCCACATGTTATTAAAGGTGCTCAGATTGCCCTTGATTTACTCCTCTTTATCCAAAGGCTGATAGATAGAGGAATTTAAAAACAAGTGCCTGCAGCAGAAGGGAAGGAAATAACAATGTACCTCTTAACCTCTCTCTCTCTCTCTTTCTCTCTCTCCGCCTCTTATCTGCCACTTCAGGCCCCTTTTCCCCGTCACGCCGCTCAGTCTGTTGCCTGTGTGTGTGCACGCTCGCTCCTGCTACAGGACCCTTCCACGGTCCCGACTCCAGAGGGCGAAACGGACTCAGATTGGTGCATACTTTTTTTTAAACGGTCTGTCCTGAGCCACTGTTTTCATACTTGGATCGGGGCCCCTCTGAGGCCACTTCTGCTCTTCCAGGTGCCGTCGTTTGTTAGCACTTCCTCGGCCTGTTTCTGGCAGGGCCCTGACGAAGGCCCCGACTCCCGGGCCGAGGCCTGCTCGGCGGGTCGCTGATGTCGGGACCTCGTTCCAACCCAAGCACAGCGGTGCTACCAGCTCCTCCATATGGCCGGCACCCCTCGCCAGTGCCAGGACATCAATCAGGCCGGGGCGGCTGCACCGTGGGAAGAGGTGGGGCGGGGGCGCCACTCAACGGCGCCATATCTATCACACCTTCTTTAGGATCGTCTCCCAGTCTCTGCTGCAGGGTGAAAAACATTACCTGACCTGACCGCCGAATCATCAGTGAGGCCTGGGTCCCAAGAGTGAAGAAGCCGGCCAGGAGATTGCACTGACTACAGCCCCCAAAAAACAGCTGGAGGGACACAGTGCTGAGCCTCATAGCTCTCTGGGGATACGTGCTGGAGGGTCACAGAGCCTGTCTGTTAGTGGTCTTCCTCATCTCGGTTTCCATTATGACATCTGACTGTGAGCGTGTTACGTACGAATAACCACGTTGTCATGGTCACAGGGAAAAAAAAAAGCAAAGCAGGAGTTTGGTTTGAAAAATTATTTTTATATCGTGCTGCACCTGAAGGTTAATGTCTTTGAGGGCAGCCATTAAGCTGAGCAGACAGAAGCAATGAGGAAGAAAAATACGGAAACGCGGCGGGAACGCGAGGTTCACGTGCAGGGGAAAATGTGCCGGCAATGCAGGGTACAAATGTGCCGAAGGAAAGGTAGTGGGAAAGCGAGGTCCACATGACCCAGGAGAATCGCTGAGGGAATGCTGGGTTTGTATGTGGCAGGGGAAAATGTGGCGGGAATGTGGGATACACATGTGCTGCGGGAAACGCAGTGGGAACGTGGGGTACACATGTGTCGGGGGAAACGCAGTGGGAACGTGTGGTACACATGTGNACGCAGTGGGAACGTGTGGTACACATGTGCTGGGAGATACGCATTGGGAACGTGGGGTACACATGTGTCGGGGGAAACGCAGTGGGAACGTGTGGCACACGTGCTGGGAGATACGCATTGGGAACGTGGGGTACACATGTGTCGGGGGAAACGCAGTGGGAACGTGGGGTACACATGTGTCGAAGGAAACGCAGTGGGAACGTGGGGTACACATGTGCTGGGAGATACGCATCTGGAACGTGGGGTACACATGTGCCGGAGATACGCATCGGGAACGTGGGGTACACATGTGTTGGGAGATACGCATCGGGAACGTGGGGTACACAGGTGCCAGGGGAAACACAGTGGGAACATGTGGTACACATGTGCCAGGGGAAACGCAGTGGGAACGTGGGGTACACATGTGCCAGGGGAAACGCAGTGGGAACATGTGGTACACATGTGCCAGGGGAAACGCAGTGGGAACGTGGGGTACACATGTGTCGGGGGAAACGCAGTGGGAACGTGTGGTACACATGTGCCTGGGGAAACGCAGTGGGAACGTGGGGTACACGTGTGCCAGGGGAAACGCAGTGGGAACGTGTGGTACACATGTGCCTGGGGAAACGCAGTGGGAACGTGGGGTACACGTGTGCAGGGAGATACGTATTGGGAATGTGGGGTCTTCATGTATCGGGGGAAAGGCAGTGTGGCTTGAGTTGCTCTCGGCATACTGGAGTCCTGGCACTCGGGTTTGAAGGAGAAGAGTAGGTGGCATAAGCCTGTGTCGACAGAGAGGCCAGGCAGCGACTGAGCCTATGTCCGCGGCACGGCACAGAGACCGCCACTGGCAGGCGCATCCCCGAGGATAATAAACGTCACCCTGGCACTGGCTCTTTTGTTTCCGCCCGTTTGTTTTTATGGTTCTCCTGCGCCGGCTATCGCCATGGTACTGTCCATGCCGTAATTTATTAATCCAAGGGTAAATCAATGGCTGATGCCCTTATAGATTACTCCGGAATCATAAACAGCCCTGACAGGAAGTGCAGAGTAATACAATTTAATTAAACTCCATATCCTCCCCAGCACACCAAGTGGGGAAATATAACCTGATTAAAGTAGCAGTCAAATAAAACTGCCTTTAATTGGCACACGCCGAGAAAGCTGTTTGCATGTTTATTTAACATTGTGCTGTATTAATAAAAAATTAAAGGCCTAATTGGGTAAACCCGCGCAGGCAGAGTGTGTGCATGCGGCCCTGGCTCCGCTTCCCACTGCTTAATGGGCCGTGACTGAAAAATAATCCCGGGCTAGTTTAATATTTCTGCAGCCGCGCGCGATGAAAGCGGCGCTTCCATTGGCCAGGAAGCGCACATTAAAAAGCTATTGTGGCTACCTGGGCCTGCTGGAAGATCCCCAGCTGGGCTGGCTGCTGCCAACGGGCACATGTCTACAGCACTGCCCTGGAGGGGACGCCATGCTGGGGGGGGGCATCATATTTCATAAACCAATCCTCACAACTGCCTTGTTTTGGCTCATCCCACTAGAGACAGCTGGATGGTTTTTGCCTAGTCCCCCCCTCGCTGAAATCCCTGTCAGTTTAGCATCCTGGGCATTTGAGTGAGCCAGCCTCTACCAAAAATACTAAAAAAACATGGGGGCCCCATCTGGCAGGTGTAAGGACAGACGCTGCTGGACGTCCCTCCCCTCCGATCGAGGGGCGATTTAGGACCCGGACAGGGATGGGTGTCAAGGCCTGATTTGCTACCAGATTTCCCTCCAGTGTGCCTCTGTACAAGCCCCGAACTCCACTAGCTCCTCACTACCATCCCACATTAATCTCGCGCTCAGGCCCACACACTACATTAATCTCAGCACTCAGGACCAGTCCAGTGGAGCAGCGACAGCTCTCTCGATTCAGCAGGGCAGCGTGCCACACAGGTCTCATCACCACAATTCTGTGCTCTGGCCACTCAACCCCCATCAGTTGTTTCGCCAGATTCTGCACCACAGTTCCTCCTGGCTTGGGGAGGGAATGGGGGAGACCCAGATCCCTGTACTCTACCTGCCTGCCTCACCAATGGTATAATAGCGTAGAGAGGAAGCATCTCTGACTTATCGATTGGAGGATTTAATTATTCACTGCAAAGCTGAACGGCAGTGGAATCATACAGACCTGGGGTTTATTAATGCCGTACACAGGGTTACACAATATGGCCTGTTCTCCCATCTATCCATGGCGTGCTTTATTTATAACGTTATACGATTAAAAGTTGGAGTACGCGGGAAAAAATGCTAGGACAATAGAATGCAGAACAATCCCTGACTGAGCAGGATTACTAATTATGATGTGAATCGGGGGCTGACTAATTACTGCACCCAATAGAGTAATTAAAGTCAGATTAGTTACTTGCGTGTGTGTGTATGTGAGTGTGTACTGTACATGTAGCTGTGTGCCGTTTACATATGCAGTGTTTAGCTTCCGCACACCCGGGTCCACACCATTCCTTCCTGCGTGAGGAACTGAGTGCAGGGCACATGCACATGTCACACGGATGCGTGGTTTGACGGGCTTCACTGAAAGCATCCAGCCG